GAGGGAATACAATTCAAGTTTTGGTAATCAGGCGCCCACCTGGATAACGAGGGAATACAATTCAAGTTTTGGTAATCAGGCACCCACCTGGATAACGAGGGAATACAATTCAAGTTTTTTTGCAATCAGGCACCCACCTGGATAACGAGGGAATATAATTCAAGGTTTTGGGAAACAGGCACCCACCTAGATAACGAGGGAATACAATTTAAGTTTTTTTCAATCAGGCACCCACCTGGATAACGAGGGAATATAATTCAAGTTTTTTGCAATCAGGCACCCACCTGGATAATGAGGGAATATAATTCAAGGTTTTGGCAATCAGGCGCCCACCTAGATAACGAGGGAATACAATTCATGTTTTTGGTAATCAGATCCCCACCTGGATAACGAGGGAATACAATTCATGTTTTTGGTAATCAGACGCCCACCTGGATAACGAGGGAATACAATTCAAGTTATGGTAATCAAGCACCCACCAGGATAACAATTAAAGTTTTGATAATCAGGCGCCCACTTGGATAACGAGGGAATACAATTCAAGTTTTTTGCAATCAGGCACCCACCTGGATAACGAGGGAATACAATTCAAGTTTTTTGCAATCCGGCACCGACCTGGATAATGAGGGAATATAATTCATGTTTTTGCAATCAAGCGTCCACCTGGATAACGAAGGAATACAATTCAAGTTTTTGGTAATCAGGCGCCCACCTGGATAATGAGGGAATACAATTCAAGTTTTGGTAATCAGGCGCCCACCTGGATAATGAGGGAATACAATTCAAGTTTTGGTAATCAGGCGCTTTCCTGGATAACGAGGGAATACAATTCAAGTTTTGGTAATCAGGCGCCCACCTGGATAACGAGGGAATACAATTCAAGTTTTGGTAATCAGGCGCCCACCTGGATAACGAGGGAATACAATTCAAGTTTTTGGTAATCAGGCTCCCACCTGGATAACGAGGGAATACAATTCAAGTTTTGGTAATCAGGCACCCACCTGGATAATGAGAGAATACAATTTAAGTTTCTGGCAATCAGGCGCCCTCCTGGATAACGAAGGAATACAGTTTCAAGTTTTAGCAATCAGGCACCCACCTGGATAAAGAGAGAATCCAGTTTCAAGTTTTAGCAATCAGGTACCCACCTAGATAACGAGGGAATACGGTTTCAAGTTCAAGTCATGGCAGACACCCACCTGGAGAACGAGGGAATTCATTTCAGAATTTATTTCAAGTTCTAAGTCAGTAGCAGGCGCCCACCTGGACAATGAGGGAACCCATGTAAAGTTTCAAGTTAGTCGTAGGCACCCACCTGGAGAATGAGGGAATCCATATCAAGTTTCAAGCTCTAACGACAGGCGCCCATCTGGAGAACGAGGGGATCCATTTTAGAATTATTGTGATTTTCACGTAAGCAACATGCGCCCACCTGGACAACGAGGGAACCCATATAAAGTTTCAAGTCAGTCGTAGGCGCCCACCTGGAGAATGAGGGAATCCATATCAAGTTTCAAGCTTTAACAACAGGCGCGCACCTGGAGAACGAGGGAATCCATTCTAGAATTATTGTGATTTTCAAGTAAGCAACATGCGCCCACCTGGAGAACGAGGGAAGTCATCTCAAGTTTCAAGTTATTGCAGACGCTCACCTGGAGAATGAGGGAATTCATTTTAGTTTTAAATCAGTGGCAGGTTCCCCCTGAAAAACAAAGGAATTTATTTCAGAGTTACTTCAATTTGCAAATTTAGGAAGCATCAGGAGCCCGCCTGAAGAACATGGTCCATTTTTCAGTTTCATATTGGTAGAGATTCAAGGAAGATTCAAGACAAAAAGTAGATAGGATCTTGTATTTTTCTTTTACTTCTACTGTAATTTTTCCTTTTATTTTTGATGTAATGACAAGAACCGCGGACCGGAACCTCGACGACACCTCGACGGGCTCTCCACCTCATTATACTCCATCACATCATTCACTTCTGAAGTACACGTGACCTGATTCCTTTATAGTCAAGGATATGTAGGCAGCTCAGATACCAGGGCTCGGTCACAATCTTTTAGACATATTTATTTTCTTTTGAATAAGCGTCGGGTCATAAATCAATTACGTTGCTTATTGTTCTTTGCTCCGAAAACTCTTTGTGTTTACGAGCAAAGAGGGGCAACTATAAGCACGTAATTTTTGACCCGCGCAACTTTTAAAAGTAGTATTTTTAAAAAATATTTACTTATTTTTATTTTAATAGGATTTAGCCTATATTTCACTTTTAGTCTAATAGTAGAACGTAAAATTCGAAAAAAAAAATAATTTTTATCTTATCTTTTATCTTTGCATTTGAGTTGAGGCCATTAATCTTTTGTAGTAATATTAATCTAAGTTTGCTATCATTCTAATTAACTTTTCTCTACTTTCATTTTAATATATAATTTTTGAAAAATGATGGTTTCATATCAATATAAATTTTATGTAGTTAAAGTCAATTACTAGTATTCTAGTAGTAATTTGCTATTGATTTTTAGTCTTTGAGCCCAATTTGGAAGCCCAACAAGACCTAGCCCATTACCCTTTCTTCAAAAAGACAAAAAAAATCCCTAGGACACAAGACTAAAGACCCATGTCTGCCATCTTCAACCTAGAGACAACAACGAAACCCTAGTCCCCATAACCACTAGCAATGCCGCCCACCACATCCAAGCCATACCAAACCTTCAGCTTCATCTTCCTCACACATTACACAAAAAACACAAACCCTAGATGAACCTTTCTTTTTTAAGAAGACAAGAGCTGAACTCAAATCGTCACTCCTCACAAACCCATGGATGCCTTCCTCGTCTTCCTGAGCTGAACGACCAGACGATCCCACCCTGACCTCTCTTTGCGACCAGCTGCTCACAGTCGCCGACCACCACCAGCCCTTCAGCCGCCCAGCTCCACCCTAGTTCTGCCGCGACCAGACTCTCACCAAAAATGACCCCTGATCTTCAACAACAATAGACACCGAACCACACAGCTTCACCTTCTTCAGAAACACACACACACAACCATAGACGAATAAGATCGAAGGGGACAGAAAATCGACGGGAAACAATATAAAAAAAATTCCAGTTTTCTGCTTTTCAAATCCGAAAAATACACCCCAGTCTCTGATTTTTTATCTTCTCATGGAGTGGACTTGAATTCGAGATCGGAGTTCCGTCGAGGTTGATGCCGAGTCTAGTTTCCATCCACGTTTCGTTGAGCTTAAAACAGTGATACAATTGCCTTTCAGCTATATTGGAGGTCTATTCTTCCCTTTCCTCATTGTTCTTTTACTGGATATCATGATATTGCTAATCCTATTAATTTGTTGTTATCGTGTGTTTGTTGATTGAGATGAATTGGTCTGGTTTTTGTTTTCATTAAATTGGAGATTGAATTATTTGGCTTTGAAACTAAGTTTAGTTATGCTTTATTTGTGTGAATCGATAGGAGCATGCTCAGGCCGACCACACTTGGGTAGGCAAGTCTTAGGATTTTATTAGTTTTGATGCGAGAGGTTGTTCCCCTAGTTAAATTTATCCGGAGAATACCCCGAAGGATTTGTATGTATTTTATTCCGGGGAATACCCCGTAGTATTCTGTATTTGGAGGCCGATAGTAGAGTTAGTAGTATCTTTGTTTTTTTATTTTTGTTTTTCTTTTATTAGGTGGTGACGACCTCAAACCTCGTGTGTTAAATTTTGCTTTTTCTGTATTTTTCACCTCAACTTGAACATTTTAAAAGCCGATTAGATCAAGTATGCAACCGTACTAGTTACGGGACTTGGGGAGTGCCTAACACCTTCTTCTCGAGTCAAATGAAACCCCTTACCAAATCTCTGGTGTAGACTTAGTTTTGGAGTCTCAAGTGTTTTGAAAGGAAAATTATTTTTCGAAAAAACGGTGACCTGACACACCAAAATCAAATGTTAGGTGGCGACTCTGAGTTATTTTCTTTTGAATATAATTTTGTCACGTTCTAATTGGAAAACCCTTTTTCAAGCCCTACAAAATCTTTTTATTTATTAAGAAGGTTAAGTGAGGTTTGGTAAAAAAAAGAGGTGTGACACTTATGTGCTTTTCTTGTTATACTAATAGCGGCAGATCTATTAGTAAACAGGAGCCGCTATCGCTCACCCGACTGAAATCTGACGGATAGATAGCTATTCTATAAAAAATCAAGACAAAAAGAAAGCAAGAAAAGGATAGCAATTGCTTTGGGAACGTTACAGGGGAGGAAGATAGAACGGTAACCTATGACACCGAGGTGAGAAGAGTTGAGAACAAAGTGGCGATTGGGTGCGTAACGCATGGGAATCTGTCCGCCCGGTGCACAAAGCATCTCGCATTTACGTAAGATTTATAAAAATGCCGCATTTCAAGAGATGTAATGAATATTAGTGACTATTTTTACGGCTCGAACCCGTAACTTATAGTTCACACGAAAATAATTTTACATTGCTCGAAAGCTCTAAAGATATATACATTGTTACTATAAAAATTCTTCTTCTTTCTTTTTCTTCGGCATGCAAAGAGTTTTGATATGCACTATGCTAAATAAGTTTGTTAAAATTAGTGGAACTCCTTATAAAATAAGTAATTATTTATTAAGCCTTCCCTTATGCGCTTGATTTTTCTTTTGCTAATTAATACCTTCTTAAGGGTTAATTCCTTTGATTTAATTTACATGCATCAAATAATTGTAGTTTTTTTGTCTTCCTTTCAAATGTAACCTAACAAAAAATGTTGGACTTTAGACTTGCATTAATTGGTTATAGCTGAAAGGATAGTGATATAGCTTAAGTGGTAGATAAATAAAAGGCCTAATATTAAATATTATGTGTGTGGATAAGTGAAGATCAATAACAATTTACGTGTGATGGGTAGACACTCTTTATAAATAGAGATCAATCCCTCTTTCCCTAGCTATTAGAAAACCCTAGCGTATTCTGCCTCTTGAATACATGGTAACGGTAGACGTCCCATCAATCAAGTTCTCCGGACTATGAGAGCATGTAGCTAGTGGATTGTGGAAGTTGGTCAGGTTTAATTTCCGATCACTATCGTTATTGTGTTGATGAAGTTGAACGGTACGCTTCCTTACACTTTAACTCTAGATTATGTTTATGCTTGTGTCTTAATTTCTACTATGGTTACTATTTAATAATCTAACAAAAAACACATGCTAATGGTCTTCTACTATTATAAGAGGAAAAAGGTACATTAAAGTTATTTTTATATGATCTATTGTTTACGGGTTTAAATCGTAAAATTAGCTCCTAACACTTAGTTTAGGATAAGCTACTTACATTATATCTCATGGGATGCAAGCTGGTCTTGTACCTAAACGTGGAATACTTCATGCGTTGCCTCTTTAGTTAGGAAGAAAATATTGTCAAGCTATAGGCTCGTCATTTTCAGTAAACATTTTCTTTTCCCCATTTATGATATTTGACTTGCTCTCGTCGAAAATCTTTAAACATTTCCTCTCCACCATTGGTAGTTTACATGCATATTCCCACCAAAAATACGACTACATGTGGTCACCCCACTCAATGGCGGACACTAGTATTACGAGATGTGAAGGAAAGAGCAAAGAATAGATCCTACGCATCCAAAGAGACCGGGCGTACGCATAATTTTTGGTAAACGATGTTAAAATTTAAATGAATAAATAAATCACTATAATAAAAAGCGATGTTATTTTTTATATTTATACCCAATATTTTTGTTTTATATACTATTTATATATATATATATAATAAAAATTTCGACAAAACGGTGTCACGTGACACCGCTTGCCGCATGATGTATCCGCTCCAGTAAAGAGAACCAAGAAGACAAAAAACATAATATAATTTGTATCATAAATTGTTGAAGTATATTTGTGTGACTATCTCAACTAAAAACATAAATTATTCAAGAAAACATACTTTTATTTCTTTAGTTATTTGGCTGATAAACATTTAGACTTTTAGCCGTGTAATAAACAACTAATTTTAAGTACCTAAAAAATCTGACAGCTAAATATGAAAACATGGAAAGTTGCAAAAGCAAGACGAAGTCACGTATATATGAATCTCTTAGTCCGTCAACGTCAATAACTATAATTTCATAAAAGACTGATAATGGTTTCTGATATCAGATCCTCTTTTCCTTTTCTGTTTTATGTTTATACTTACCAATTTTAGGCTAATGTAGAGTCAGCTTAATTTCCTTATACGGAATTGCAAACTGAGAAGTTCAGCTTTCAATTGGTGCATGAAATTTCTCTGCATTTCCCCTCTATCGACTTTAATGTAAAGTTTTTTGCTTAAAGAAATAGGGAACAGAGTCAGAAATTATTAAGGAAGAGAAGATAGAAGATCCACTGTAAGTTCAGCTGTACGCGGGTGTATTCGATGTATTCGTGCTATTATATTCGTAAATACATTAGCAGAAATCGCCTAAAAATAGGGAAGTCCAGCTATACGAGACTGTATTCGCGCTATTGTAATTCACCTAAATAACAGGGAAGTACATCTGCTTAATAACGGAAAGTGGATCAATTAGCGTGTATCGCTCCTAATTTAACTCAACATAATCAATTTTACATAAATTTCGTTGACATTGTACTGTATTCGAGCCCAGTGCATGGGGCTTGCCTTATGCGCGGGGTTTACCCTTTTATGTAGTTTGCAGGCTATTATACAAGAATGAGGTTTATCCTGTGCGCACCCGAAAGATAGTGATTGCGAATTCCCTTATTAACAAATAAAATATATTCGTAAGAAAAAGTAAGGTCTAGAAAGTTCAGGTATGTCAAAAATAACCACTGCATTTCAGTTATACTTCACATTAAGGAAGCTCAGGTATGTAAAAAATAACCCCTTTTATTGATCTTTTTGCAGTGGATGGCAATAGAAGAATATGCAGCTCAACTAAAGTGAACTCTCCAAAAATATTGTCAAAATATGTCTAGCTAAAAAAGACAATGAATACACTGGTTCTCTGCTGTTCTAACAACTACAGGACTTTCTGCTACCAAGTCTTATTTGTACTATAATACATGATCATATGATCATTAAAATACGTACTCTTTTATGCAATTATGCATATGTTTGCAATAAGGTTGTAAAATATTTTTCAATTTTTTCATATTTGGTTGGCTTAAATGTTTTGGAAAATATTTTCCTCATGAACTCATTTTCTTCCAATTGGAGGAAAATGTTTTCCTTATCAAGAGAAGGAAAAACATTNTTACTCAGGATTTCTGGTTCGCAGAATAACAAACAGAGTCATATTCTCCTCGATTCAGGAATTAGAAATTGGTGACTTGGGACGCCTTTAAAATTCCCAGGTGGCAACTCTGAAACAAAAGATAAATAAATCCTGTTTCGACTGTCCTTCAATTGGAGAAAACTCCCTACGCGCCTCGCGGGCGCGGAAAAAGGAGGTGCGACAATCACGTTATCGAGTGAATTCAATGATTCCCAACTCTTTTTAAATATAAATCTTTCGAAAGTTATTTTTTTCAACTTAAGCAATTTAAATTTCAACAAATAAAACTTCATCAATTTGATTCTCTCAAATAGTAGTAAGAATATTATAAGTTTGTAGCTAGATTCTTCAATCTCTGTGGGTCTATATCATAGACTATACTAGAATTTGACAGAGTATGAGTAGCAAAATCTTATACGCTTTGGCCTGGCGATGTTGCCGGGGATTGGCATACATCTACTTCAGATTAAATATTTTATAACTAATTTGAGAACTTATTATTATAATATTTTTATTTTTTTATCGGTGTTTCCTAAATTGCACTTATCTATTATTTTTATATTAATAGTAACATTTTATGACTCAATCATAGTTATAGTAGCAGTACCATTTCATTTTTTCTTTCTCATTATAACTATTACCAACTATTTTTATTAAATTCTTTAGTATATCTACTACAATTAGACTATTGTCAGTATTTTATTAACCCAAAAAATATTATAATCAATAATTTCACAGTCTCATACACTATTAACTGTGGACAGTGTGAGTTTGCTCCGGATTTGACAACTATTTTTATGTGTCATGAATAGGTCATTGTGGATCCTCAAAAGGTTATTGGCCCAATATGGTATTATTAGAATCGACTTGAGGTCCGTTGATTGGTCTAAATGTGGATGTGTACTCTAGTCCAGGACAGGTGTATTTATTCAGCATAGCATTTTTTATGGAGGAGTCTTCGGGCATTAGATGTCATATTCGTCGTTATCTATTTCAGGTAATACTCTCTTGTTCCATGTGGGTTGTGAGACGTCTTGATTATTCCCATATATGTTGAGGTCCCTCGTAGTTGTGGTGTTATTTGAGAAGGATGGCTTTCGAGATGCAGATCATATATCGCACCTTAGTTGTGCTTGGGTTCGTAGTGTATGGCACTATCCGCCTCCCCATGATTTTTATAATTCACTCAGCATGCTTATGGTCGATATTCGGGCATTTTGTAAGTATAAGCATTACGACTTGATGTGTATTTTCTTCTTGATTGTTAGGTGCGAATCAGTGGTATGCCACCACAGGTATATTGTTTGGATCGGGTGGCATGCCGCCATGGGTATATTGTGTGGATCGAGTTGCACATCGCAACATTATCATGTTTGGATCAGGTTGCAAGCCGCAACAGTGTCACATTGGATCGGGTTGCAAGCTACAACAGTGAGATGTTGAGCATAGTTCCTTACATTTATTTCGTGTGCCTTGTTTTTCATCCTTGAGGTAGATTCATAGCATCTATTTGACCATTCTATTCGTCATACGGACTGTTTAATTCCCTGTAAGAGTTTATTCTTCCTTATGAGTTATATTCGAGTTTGTAGCTTGTTGGCGCATTGTCAGCGTCATATGAGATTTTGGTAGTGTTTGAGATGGCTTATTACCTTAATAGCTTGTACTGGGCGAGACGAGGTTATAGGACCTAGGATTAGTGCGGTCGGAGTTATGAAGGGTATATTAAAGAGCAAATATTGTTATTCAGTTCAGAATGTAGTAATGGTCCTTGTCAGTAGGAGACACTCCATAATTTGTTGATGCGGTAGGTGATTATTAGTTTCTACTCATCTCTTCCATCGTGGCGGTATTGCGAGAGTGGTAACATGACATATATGCGTCATGAGGTGTGTTGCGGTCGTCGAATTCGTGGAATTTCAGTTATTATTGTCAAAGGATGTTATTATGGTCAAACGACTTATGTGGTACATGGTGTGATCTCAGCGGAGGAGCATGGTCATGTTGGGTATAGTGTCTGGTGATTGATGCGGTGTTCGTATGTTGAAATCAGGTCTTGTAGAAAATTTCGGATGTTGGAATTTGGTTCTAAAGCTTGTTAGCTAAGGTTATAGGAAGGATCTTCAATCTAGCTCGAGCTAGAGTGCTCACATGGGTTGTGGTGGCACATGTAGGTTCACAAGGTGTTAACCGGTGAATTTGGACAACTCCGAAATAGTTTTTGGCACGTTCGAGGATGGACGTATGTTTAAATGGAGAGAATGTAATGACCTGACCGGTCGTTTTGAGCTTCGACGCGTCGCTTAGTGGTTTTAGGCCTTGATTAGCTCCATTTCAGGTATTATGACTTGTAAGTGTGGTCGGAATTGAATTTCAAGAAGATCGGAATTGATTTGGAAAGAAAATTCTAATTTAGGAAGCTTTAAGTTGGAAGAATTGACTAAGGTTTGACTTTTGAGTAAACGACCTCGGAATCGGGATTTGAAGGTTCCAATAGGTTCATATGATATTTTCAGACTTAGAGACGCTTATTGTAGAAAGTTGGCATTTTGGAAGTTCTAGAATTTTATAAGTTTGGGTTGAAGTGGATTTTGATATTTTTATGTCCGTTTTGAGTTTCGAGCCTTAGAATAGGTTCGTGTTGTGATTTGAGACTTGTGCGTAAAGTTTGGCATCATTTCGGAATTTTTTTATATGACTCGGACATGTTCGTTGAAGTTTGGAAGTTTGAAAGTTTAAAGAAGGATTTTGATCGTCGATTTATAGTTTTGATGTTGTTTGATGTGATTTAAGACCTCGAGCAGGTCCGTGTTATGTTATGAAATTGGTTGGTGTGATTGGACGGGGTCCCGGGGTCCTTGGGTGTGTTTCGGGATGGTTTCGGGTCATTTCCCCATGTTTTGTTGCTGCTGATGTTGGTTCTGTAGTCCTTTATCGCGAACGCGTGGAGGATATCGCGTTCTTGAAGAGGGATTTTTAGGCAGGTGGAGATTTCTCATCGCGAACGCAACACAGAGGTCACGAACGCGGAGAAGAGCCTGAGGAACCTACGTGAACGCGAAGGGGCGGTCGCGAACGCATAGAAGGGAAAGGGGAGCTGGGCTTGGAGGCGCTAGGCCATTGCGAACGCGGCTCAAGGACTGTGAATGCTAAGGTGTGAGACGTGGAGGCATCGCGAACGCAGGAAGGCCACCGCGAATGCGAAGAAGAGATTTTAGGGGTAGGGTTGTTTGGCTTTCGCGATCATGAGGGTTATTCCGCGATCGCGAAGAGGAAGGAACTTGGCAGTGGGTTTATAACTCGGGACTTAGCCCATTTCTCTCACATTTTCTTTTGGTTGGGTGATTCTTGTAGCTCTTAGAGGGGATATTTTCATCATCCATTGCAAGGTAAGTAATTCCCGCACATTGTGAGTTAACATGGTTTATATATGGATTTGAACATGATAATTGGTAGAAATTTGGGATTTTGAAGAAAACCTAAAAATTGGCATTTTTTAAACCACGAAATTGGACATAGAATTGGGAATAAATTATATATTTGAGGTCGTAGTGTTATGGATAAATTTTATCTTTAAATTTTCAAAATCAGGGCACGTGAGCCCGAGGTTGACTTTATTGACCTTTCGAGCAGAGTTGGGAACTGTTATAAATTGATTAATTATAAGTATTGGAGTATATTTTGATTGAATCGCATATTTTTTGACTAGTTTCGGATCGTTTGGCTTTGAATTGAAGAGTTAGAGACGCATTGGAGCCGGTTATGGAACTTCGGGGTGTAGTAAGTCTCCTGTCTAACCTTGTGAGGGGGAAACTACCTCCTAGGTGATATTTACTATTTAGTGCAAATAGTTGTGAGTGCTACGTACGTACGAGGTGATGAAAGTCCATACGTAGCTAAAACATGTTTATGTCCGGGTATACTTAGGATCTTATCATGTAATAATTGAATTTTGAATTTGTTTTGCTGGCTTAATTATTGAAAGTTATAACTCAAAATTTATTTAGAAAAGAATATATCAGGCCAAGTTTTATCATCTTGAGTTGTTGCCAGGATATTTGATAAATGTGAAGGGGTGTACTTATTATTATGCTCATGTACTATATTGTAAACACATGTCTTGTAATTCAGTAACTTCCTTCCTTTCTTGTGGAGCGGGCCGAAATCCTAGGCAGTATATAGATACATCTATAGATCATGTCGTACGTCCTTCGGCAGTGTACATGTTATTTTGGATCGGGACGAACGACATCAGTAGAATCGTGCATTATATCGCTAGCAGCCAGAATATTCACGAGCTAATCTTCCTACTGATGCCCGACATTTTATGCTACTCCTTATTTATTTAGTAATGGAACTTGTCATGTTCTGGGATATTAAGGTAGAATACAAGATCGAGAAATTTATGTTAAAGGAAATAATTGGAACATTATGAAATTTCAGATTTACTCCATTATTGTTGTGCACTTCATATCTGTTATGATTTATCATTTATTAGTAAGTATCAATGTCGTCCCCTCGTCACTACTTCTCCTAGGTTAGGCTAGATACTTACTGGGTACGCATTGATTTACGTACTCATACTGCACTTCTGCACTAAATGTACAGGATCTGACAGTCATTTGGTGATCATCTTGGCGTGTGGTCGCACCAGCTGATGAGACTTTATATGAGCTGCATTCTAGGATACGCACCGCAGTCCACAGAGTCTCCATTGTACCATTTATTTATCCTGTCTTATTTACATTCCGGACAGATGTTTTGTTATTGTTGTACTCCTTAGAAAATGCTCATATACTTGTGACACCGGGTTTTGGGAGTTCCTACTGGTTGTTTGTTATCGTAGATCACATAATTATAATCATCTACCCAGTAAA